TGTATGTGTATGTGTATGTGTATGTGTATGTGTATGTGTATGTGTATGTGTATGTGTATGTGTATGTGTAGGCTTTGCGAGTTTGCCGTCCGGTCGCGGAGACAGAACTGTGCAGCAAGCCGGAGCATTCGACATGTGTCGCATTGTCTCAGACCGAGCTGCTCGCTTATCAACGCCGCCGATCGAATTGTCTCCAGCCGACATGTCTCCACTTGAGAAGATAACTCAAACCCATTCGGCCTTCCAACCGCCTCGCCTCGCGGGCCCGAGCTCGACTCCGCTTCGCGTCGGAACCGCCTCTCAATCGCCTCCCTCGCTCCCTCGCTCCCTCGAGCCAGGGATTAATTCCGATTGTCCAGCAACTCGGCGAGTTCACTTTCTCCTCTCACACTCCCCCTCCCCCCGATTCCTCCCCACCTTTGCGCCTCGACAACCCACATCAGAAAACGTCTCGGACTCGAGTGTCGTCGCCCAACTTCTCCCTCCAAGTGGCGCCTGATGCTTATCGGGTCGCCGACTCGGCCAACACTGGCCTCCTCGTCCACGACATCCGCTCTGCACCCGCAAGCAAGAGCACTCCAAATCCGCCATACAGCTCTCTTTCTCTCTCCCCTTTTTCTGGCTCTTAGTTGTCCTATTACACACACACACACATACACATACAAACACACACACATGCATAGATGAAGTTAGCCAGGGACCGGTCTTTTTGGCCCGGCTTTCCAACTTTAATCTCGAGAAGACGTTCGAGCGCGCTGCGGCCCTGAAGGGCCTGCTCAAGCGGCCCGGCCAATGTGCTCCACCACCCTCATTCGTCCCCTCTGCCGCCATTCGCGCTCAATCCCCGACATGGAAGGTCACATTTTTTGGGCTCTCCGCACAGCCCTACCGGTTGAAGCAATAATGCCACGTCACTGGCGCTATCAGCACATTCAGCTGACTCTCCATTTAATTCTCCTCCTTTTACTCTTCCTTTTCATCTTCTGCATCATCTACTTGTCATTTTTATGCATTTTCTGTATCGTACTCGTCGTCTTTGTCGTCACCATCTAATTC